AATCAATAGTATTTATTTATTTATGGTAAAAGTTTATCAGATTAATTATTCATTTATTTATCTATTTGATTATTTTTATTTACTTTGTATTTGATAATATTTATTTTTTTAAGTTTAATTATTTACATATTTATTTATTTGCACTTAATATGGTTATTTTTTTACTTTTATTCATTATTTTATTATTTATTTACTTATTATATTTGATAATATTTATTTATTTTGAAATATTTTATTTTTAAATGCTTATTTATTTTTTTATTTTAAATTATTCTTAAGAAATATATTAATCAAAATGATGATGATGATTATTATTATTATTCCTGTAGTATATATATATATTTTTTTTATTGTTTTATGCTGATTGTAGGTAAAATCATGCAGTAATTTAATGAAGGTTAATGAAGGTTACAGCAATGATATTGTGATTCATCCGCAAAGAACCAAACAGTCTCAGGAATACATGTGCAAAGGGTTTTGCTCATTGATAGTAAAACTGTTGAACTTACATTCATTTTTTTTCTATTTATTCTTTATTCATTTCATTTATTTTATTCTTTTGGAATATTAAGGTTTTAAAGGTGCATTTGGTATTTTTCTCTTCTCATTGAAAACATTTAAAGAAAACAGTACAATAAGGTTTGTTAACATTAGTTAAGGCATAAAATAACAAAATAACAATGAACATTACATTTTTAAGCATTTATTAATCTTTCTTAATGTTTAGTAAAAATATAATGATTCCTTGTTTGTCCAAGTGTTATTTTAGTATTATTTATATACTATTTTAATTGTTATTAATATTTTGAATTATCTTTTATTTTTATACTTTCAGTTTTCAGTTGAATTTTTGGTTACATTTTTTGTATTTTTTTGTGCTTTTGTCATTTTTTTTAATATTACTATTTTAGTTTTATTATTATTATTATTATTATTATTATTATTATTTAGTGTTTCAACTTAAAATAAATTCAAATGAGAAATTTTGCCTTTGAAACTAGCTAAAATAAGTTTTTCATCTAAAATGGATATTATATTTTATTTTATTTCAATGAACAAAATGTTTTAATAGTTTAAGTTTTTATTGATAATACTGATTTGTTCATTTTAGTTCACAGGGCATTAACTAAAGTTAATGAATACAACTTTTATTTATGTTTATTTAAAAAATGCACATACTGAAATTAAGTATTAAGTAGAAAATTTAAGTCTGTCATTATTCAACCTTGTGATATTTCTTATGAAATTTTGGCCACTGAAATATGCATGAAAAAGCTTGAATGTATATTTGATGTATATTTAAATACACAGCATATATTCAGCCTCTTACTTGCACAAAATGATCATATACTGTTGCTTTTAGCTTTTAGTTTTTAGTTTGTCCAGTATGAAAGAAGATGTCTCGGCGCTGTCATATGTTTGTGGTGGTGCAAAATTTATGTACAAAATTAGACGTTTACATCTCATGTCCATTTATTTGTGGACTGTAGACGCTCTGGCAACATCAAATCACTATGGCAACATCCTCCGGCTTCTGCAACTGTGTTAAAAAAAAAAAAAAACATTATCTGAGAGATGACCTGACCGTTCACTCATTTACATACACTGCAGAAAATCTGATGGAGGATCAAGACAAAATACCCTTGCTAAGATTTCATAAAACAAGCACTCAGATTTACACAGTGCAAGACAATAGCTATCATGAAATTGGTTTGAAGAACACATTTTGAGCAGTTTTGATTTTGTGGAGCTGAAAATGATTCTTTTTCAACTTTTTGTTTAAAAATAGCAATAATAATAAAAGTGCTAATACTTTTTGAGTTGATTTGTACATGTTTTGCACTTTCCCCCCATTGCAAACAGAAAAAGCCATGTTTTGACAACCACGTGCAGACTTTAGCATGCCAATAAAGTAAGTTAATAAAGCCACAATTCTGAGACATAGGTGAGATATAAACTCAAAATTATGAGATATAGATTGAGAGATATAAACTCAGAATTGCAAGATATAGATTGAGAGATATAAACTCAGAATTGCAAGATATAGATTGAGAGATATAAACTCAGAATTGCAAGATATAAACTCAAAATTATGAGATATAAACTCAAGAGTTATGAGATATAAAGCCAAATTAGAGATAACAACTCAAAATTGTGAGATATAAACTCAAAATTGTGAAATAAACTCAAAATTGCAAGACATAAATTTAAAATTGTGAAATAAACTCAAAATTGCAAGACATAAATTTAGAATTGCAAGACATACATTTAGAATTGCGAGATATAAACTTAAAATTATGACATATAAACTCAGAGTTATGAGATATAAAGCCAAATTAGAGATAACAACTCAAAATTGTGAGATATAAACTCAAAATTGTGAAATAAACTCAAAATTGCAAGACATAAATTTAAAATTGTGAAATAAACTCAAAATTGCAAGACATAAATTTAGAATTGCAAGACATACATTTAGAATTGCGAGATATAAACTTAAAATTATGACATATAAACTCAGAGTTATGAGATATAAAGCCAAATTAGAGATAACAACTCAAAATTGTGAGATATAAATTCAAAATTGCGAAATAAACTCAAAATTGCAAGAGATAAATTTAAAATTGCGAGATATAAACTTAAAATTATGAGAAACTCAGAATTGTGAGATATAATCTTAAAATTATGAGAGATTAATTTAGAATTGAGAGATATAAATTCAAAATTTCGAAAATTATAAACTCAGAATTGAATTGCAAGATATAAGATATATACAGTTGTGAGATAAAAAAGTCAAAATGCGAGATATAAACTCAAAATTGTAAGCAAAAATGTCAAATTTTTCGGATAAAAAGTCACAGTTGTGATATAGAAATTCGCAATTACCTTTTTTAATTTTTTTAAGATTCTAATTAAAAAGATTTTTTGATGTGTATTAAAATGCATTTTGTGTGATAGGTTTCTTTTATTATATTTATTTTCTCTCTCTTCACATGTTGCTTTCCATCCTGGTTGTTCCTCCTGTTTCCTTGTCATCTTGTTTCCCTGGTAAGCTGGGTCTCACGCTGTGACAGGTTCTCTAATCAGACGCACACACTAACGAGCCTCATTCTGCTCCGGAATATTAATTCTCTCAGAAAACCTGCTATAATTATATATTCAACAGCAGGGTAATACAATTCCTGCTTATCGCAACGAGAACGACATTCTCGCAGTGAACTCCGTTTTAACATCTGCACATTATTACACCGTTCTGAATTGAATTTCCTGTGCAATATCATATTCGGAAATTTATGAATGCATTCAAATGGATGATTTTTTTTCACTCGACCAACAAAAGTACTTGCATATTACAAAGTACATACTCTATCTTTCCAACTAATAATAAAAAATTTTAAAAATCCATGCAAAGCATTCATGCAGCATGCATTGATTTGTCATTCAAAATGTATAGTGTGTAAAGTAGTTATCAAATGACCTCATTAAGTTGCATGTTTAATTCAGTGGGTGGCATCCAGGTAATATCACAAACAAGTAGTTATTTTTAATTTTTATTACATTTTGTGTAACTTTTGGCAGTGTGATCACCTAACGAGTCAATTAGAGAGATGTTAGTCAAATGCATTGCTCTGTGTGGTATATTATTGTATGAAAAGTGAACTTGCCTGCACAGTATTCTGTAGAAATAACTGTGTCTGTGTTTTTGTGTTAGTACATCAATAATGCACCCAAGCTTGTTTTTCCCTTAATAACTCTAAGCAGAAGTAGGACAGAACATATGAATCAATCACACTTGAACACGTCTACATCTGCAGCCTCTCACCTGATTACGGTCTGTTCTGAGATCAGCTCAAATAAATAGTCGCAGTCTCTCGTCCAGCGCTGAGCTAATGGGCCGTTGAGTCTATATGCGTTTGTGATTATTTCTCTGTCACGCTGATGGGCCGCTGAAGCCTCTTTGGTAAATACGCCGTTATGGGCTAATTTGATGCCGACACACGTTTTTTTACACTCTGAGGAACACAAAGTGAAATTATACTCAGAACAGACATGCACCTCTCAGGGACGTGAAATGCATCAGATAGTCGTGTTGGTTTTTAAATAGTGCAGCTGCGTTGATGTTTTCGCCCATTTGTGAGCAGAGATGCATGTCAGAATGAATCCTAAAACTCCTCCTGATGAGCTGAGATGTTCTGCAGTGAACGTCTGCACAAATTCAGGGTTTAACTACCGATTTATCGTGAATTATTTGGGTTGTTATTTTGGTTAAGATTGACTTTCATATTGTTTCCAGATGAACACTTGACTGAAGCAGCAGCTCGGCTTTACTTGATTATCCACACATCATTTTCTTTTTAGAAAAATCAGTGAGTCTCAAATCTGATCATCAGGATCTTTACTTTACGTTTGCTTTACTTTCACTGTTCCTCAGTGGAGGAATGATCTTCATATTTACAGGGTTAAAAATGGTTCTGCACATTTGTAGATAGTTTTTTTCCTCTGAAGTACAGTAATAATATTGTATGAAGCTTTTTGCATCATTCCTGTAACACCAAGGTCACATAGGTTCTATTCCCATGGAATGCAAGAACTTGAATGCATTATAAGATGCTTTGGATAATGGCATCAGCCAAATGCATGCATGTAAATACAAAAACCACATAATGGAATTTTTCCATCCATTCATTTAACTAACAGGCTGTTTTCTTCTTCTGTAAATGAGGCCTTGTTGACGATCTGTGTTCCTCTCTCTTTCAGCAGGAGTGTCTTTCGTTCTGAGCTGTGATGGTCTTCGTGGATTGTAGGATGGTGGATTTTCTTCGCGGTCGGAGGAGGTTGCGGGTGTCTGTCTGCAAGCCGCCCTGCTCCTTCTGGTTTCTGCTGCTGTTTGGGATCGGAGGACTCGTTCTCTTCATCCACCTGCAGGATCTGTCCGATATGGTGCTTCAACAGGCACCAGGTAGGAAGAAACGGTCACTTATGGTCAACCATCAACACGTAGAATGAATTCAGACTGTGATATATCCAGTGAGCTGTTTGTTCCCAAGGTTTCATTGTGTTTTGGAGAAGATTATAGTTTTGGACTTCAGGAGAAAATGAATGTGGTTTGAGGATTTTATGTGTGAGGTTGCACACAGGGTCTGAAATTAACGTTTTGCAAGACTTGTGAATTGAGAAAATAGGGCTGTAAATATATTTTGCCAGCCATGTGTGACAGTGAGGCTGAGGCAGCGTTAGAATCCATTTGCAGAAGTTTATTAATAGAAATAACAGGCAGAGAGTCAGTACCGTAACAGCAGTCCAATCTTTCAACATACACAAGGGAGATCCAAAAGGCAGAGACGAGTAAGCAGGCAAAAGGTCCAAACTAGGGCTGCACGATAAATCGCACGCAATATTTAACGCGCATCTTATCAGTAAAGCTGGTTCTGTAATCAGCGGTAAATCTCCATCACGTGCGTGTTTTCACATTGAGCAGCATTAACTACACAGAGCCGTTGTTCACAGGCAAGCTGCGCAAAACCACGTTCATATTCGCGTGATTTTTTGCGCAGCTCGTCAGTGAACAACGGCTCTGTGTAGTTAATGCTGCTCAATGTGAAAGCCCGCACGTGATGGAGATTTACCGCTGATTACAGAACCGGCTTTCTGACAAGATGCGCGTTAAATATCGCATGCGATTTATCATGCAGCCCTAGTATCCAGTGAGAATGGCTTGGAGGGTGAAGAGCTTTCTAAAGTCACTTTTCTGTGTTCCCTCATTACCTCATTAGAACTGGAGAGCATCTGTATTTCCTACAAAAGTTACAACAAAAATTACCAATCTGGGAAGCTCACATGGGGAACTTTCCACCGTACAAGGAGACATCTTGCAGCCAGTCCAAAACCCTGTGAGTGTCTGGTCTTTTCCAGTGACTTCTGAGAGCACAAAAAAGTCCGAACACTTAATGAAACAGCAGTTCATGAGAACATTTTCAACCAATAGCAATTGCCTCACCACAGTTTCAAGATTGTCATGACCACTTTAAACATCACTGAAATTTCATATTCCCATTTCAGTGAGTTCAAAACCTGCCATAAGAATATGTTTAATATAGCCTGACGCACATTTTCTTGTGTTTACTGCAGAACCTTCCTTATCTGGCCCCAATTTCAGGAGGACTGAGAGAAGGCATGGCCTTGTACTTGAAGGGAGTTGTTCCCACTAATGCTGACCGGTAAGAAATCAATTCTTTGTAAAATTTGCGAAAGTGGATACAAAAAATGCATTGTTATGTGGACTTGGTTGCTTTAACATTTTCACTTCCATGCAGATTTGAAGTAAATTTCAAGACTGGGCAGTCCGACAATGATGACTTTGCTTTCCACTTCAACCCTCGAATGGACCGGAAGGTGGTCATGAACAGTGTGATAAATGGAAATTTGGGAACTGAAGAAAGTGTCTCTGACAACCCCTTTAAAAAGGGACAACCTTTTGAGATGTTCACTGTCATCAAATCTGAAGGATATAAGGTACATGTTTTGAGAACGAGACTCACCACACTGCTAAAAGGGAGCTAGGACCTTGTCCTCACACGGGTTGTGTTGCTTTGGTTCATCAGGTTTATGCGAATGGTAAAGAGCTGTACACATTCAAGCATCGTATACCGCTGGAAAAAGTGTCAACGTTAAATATCAGTGGAGATGTTGCTGTGACCCTTTCTGGTTTCATACAAGTAAGTTATTTTTTTCTTCAGCTAAAGCAACGTTGCAACATGAATGATATTGTCACAGAATCCAGTGAGAATGGCTTGGAGGGTGAAGTGCTTTCTAAAGTCACTTGTCTGTGTTCCCTCATTAGAACTGGAGAGCATCTCTATTTCCTACAAAGGTTACAACAAAAATCACCAATCTAGGAAGCTCACATGGGGAACTTTCCACCGTACAAGCAGAGATATTGCAGCCAGTCCAAAACCCTGTAAGAGTCTGATCTTTTCCAGTGACTTCTGAGAGCACAAAAAAGTCCGAGCACTTAATGAAACAGCAGTGCATGAGAACTGTTTCAACCAATAGCAATATAGACTGATGCACATTTTCTTGTGTTTACTGCAGAACCTTCCTTATGTGGCCCCAGTTTCAGGAGGACTGAGAGAAGGCATGGCCTTGTACTTGAAGGGAGTTGTTCCCACTAATGCTGACTGAGGCGGCGTTAGAATCCATTTGCAGAAGTTTATTAATAGAAATAACAGGCAGAGAGTCAGTACCGTAACAGCAGTCCAATCTTTCAACATACACAAGGGAGATCCAAAAGGCAGAGACGAGTAAGCAGGCAAAAGGTCCAAACACAATCATCAGTCCAAATCAGGCTATCAATCCAAAGGGGTAAATCAGTGACCGTAGAGCAGATAATCAGGCAGAATCATACACAGAATAGGCAGGCAGAAAACAATGGAAACGCTTGGTAAGGCAGGTAAACTGGCAATACTTCGCAATGAGCAAACACACAGTTCCTTGCTAAATACTGATCAAACAGGAAATGAATGCAGAAGCAGAGGGAGCGGTACACAGTCAGTACTCAGGCGAGGGCTCCCTCTACTGGTGTGGCGTTACAGAACCCCCTCCTCTAGGAGCGCCTCCTGGCGCTCGACGTGGGCGTCCCTGTGGTCGTGGTGCTGGTCGACCAGGTCTGGCTCGATGAAAGTCCTCCATGAGAGAGGGATCCAAGATGTCGCGGGCGGCCACCCACGATCTCTCCTCAGGTCCATAGCCCTCCCAGTCCACCAAATATTGAAGCTGACCCCCTCTCCGTCTTGAGTCCAGTAACTCATTCACCTTGTAAGCTGGGGTTCCATCAACATCCAGCGGCGGTGGCGGCTCTCGAGCCTCATTGTCGGGGTCAGCCTCCGAGTGGACCAGTTTGAGGAGTGAAACATGAAAGGATGTAGAGATACGATAGTTAGCAGGAAGCTCTAACTGATATGTGACCTCATTTATTCTTCTTAGAATTTTGAAAGGACCAACATACCTGGGGCTGAGCTTCCTGCTTGGTAGCCGCAATTTGAGGTTCCTCGTAGAGAGCCAGACCCGTTGTCCAGGTTGGTAGGGAGGATGTGGGCGACGTCGTCTGTTGGCCTGGAGTTCCTGTACTCTTACGGCTCTCTGAAGACGTACATGTGCGCTGTCCCACACCCTCTCACTACGCCGGATCCAATCGTCCACTGCAGGGACCGATGAGGGTTCCCCAGACCACGGGAACAAAGGGGGTTGATATCCAAGGACACACTGGAAGGGAGTCAAACCAGTGGATGAGTGAGTCAATGAATTTTGTGCATATTCAGCCCATGGAAGGAACTCAGACCAGCGGTGTTGTTCTCGGCTACAATATGATCGTAGATATCTGCCTATCTCTTGATTTAACCGTTCGACTTGTCCATTTGCCTGAGGGTGGTATCCTGACGTGAGGCTTATGTTGATGTCAAGATGTTTGCAGAATGCTTTCCAAACTTGGGACGTAAACTGGGTTCCTCTATCACTGACGATAACATCTGGTATACCATAAATTCGAAAGACTTGATGAAACGGTGCGTGTGCAGTCTCCATGGCTGTGGGAAGTCCTTTTAGAGGAACCAAACGACAAGATTTGGAGAAACGGTCAATGATAACTAGGACAGCAGTGAAGCTGTTGGACAGAGGCAGGGCTGTGACAAAGTCAATAGATAGATGGGACCAGGGACGTTGTGGGATAGGCAGTGGTTGGAGGAGACCTGAAGGTAACTCCTTGGGGGTCTTTGATTGGGCACAGACTTGACAGGTTTTGACATAAGTAGTGACGTCCTTGGTCATCGAGGGCCACCAGAATGAATTTTGCAGTAAGTGAAGAGTGCGGGATATTCCTGGATGGCCTGAACTGACAGAAGTGTGGACCCATTGCATCACTCTGTGACGTAGATTTTGTGGAACATACTGTTTGTCTGGTGGGCAGTTGACAGGTGCTGGCTCTTGTAGTTGTTCCCTTTGTATTTCCTCCATTATGTCCCAGGTGATAGGAGCGATGACAATAGAAGGTGGGAGTATGCATTCTGGTGTGAGGCTTTCAATGGGGAGATCATACTGCCTGGATAGAGCATCTGCCTTACTATTCTTACTGCCTGGGCGATATGTCACTGTAAACTGGAATCGGGTGAAAAAAAGCGACCAACGAGCCTGCCGTGGATTTAGTCGTTTGGCACTCTTGATGTATTCAAGATTTTTGTGATCAGTTATTACTTGAAATGGATGGATTGCCCCTTCTAACCAGTGTCTCCATTGCTCGACGGCTGCTTTCATGGATAAGAGTTCTTTGTTCCCAACATCATAGTTTCTTTCAGATGCATTTAACTTTCTTGAGAAGAATGCGCATGGATACAGTTTACCAGGTTGGCCATGACGTTGGGAGAGCACAGCTCCGATTCCACAGTTCGAAGCATCTACCTCCACCACAAATGGAAGATTGGGGTCAGGATGTTTCAGGATGGGGGCTGTTGTAAACCTTTCCTTCAATGTATTGAATGCCTGGCTGGCTTCCTCACTCCACTTCAACTTCGAAGGCTTTCCTTTCAGGAGGGAAGTCAGAGGGGAAGCAATCATACTGTAATTTCTGATGAAGCGTCTATAGAAGTTGGCAAACCCCAGGAACCTTTGAAGCTCTTTTATGGTGGATGGATAAGTAGTGACGTCCTTGGTCATCGAGGGCCACCAGAATTAATTTAGCATAATTCCTGGATGGCCTGAACTGACAGAAGTGTGGACCCATTGCATCACTCTGTGACGTAGATTTTGTGGAACATACTGTTTGTCTGGTGGGCAGTTGACAGGTGCTGGCTCTTGTAGTTGTTCTCTTTGTATTTCCTCCATTATGTCTCAGGTGATAGGAGCGATGACAATAGAAGGTGGGAGTATGCATTCTGGTGTGAGGCTTTCAATGGGGAGATTGAAACTCTATTTTATATTGTTGCATTAAAAATGCATATATTTTGGTTTCTCCGAATGAGTTCTCTAGCTGATTTGTCCTGCAGATTTAGCGCTGTGTCACTCGTACACCAGCCAGTCTCCGTGCAACACCATCTGTCACAAACACATCCACAACCATCTTGATTTTGGTCTTATTTTCATTTTTGGTGGAAGAATGTGTCACCACAGTGAGAATTTTTAACCATGTAAAGCTTAGTCAGAAATAATAGTCAGAAAAATCTATTTTATTTATTTGTTTGTTTATTTATTTATTTATTATGTGTGTGTGTAAAATATAAAGGTTTGCTTGTGTGTGTGTGTGTGTGTGTAGGGTTAGGGTTTGTGTGTTTTTGAGTATCATATTTGATATAGAGAATATGGAGGGGAAAACAGCTCAGACTGAACCAAACGCAGCAAAAATATACAATTTAATGCAGATGCTGATATTTATATGGACAAAGAGTGATGAAACTCCGATACAGCAGATACTTACATAACATGATATAAATATAAGTTGGCACTCTATATCTCCAATAATATGTCTTAGTTATATTTAATGCTTAGTTTGATGATCAAAACATATAATGTAATGCAACAGAATGGTGATTGAGCGATGAACAAACATATATTGCTCAAAAGATGTGAGATGTTTATGTTTTGGAGGCTTGGGAAGATCATTCCTCCGCTGAGGAACAGTGAAAGTAAAGCTTCTGGAAACAAACGTTCCTCAAAAGATCCTGATGATCAGATTTGAGATGCACTGATTAAAAAAAATATATATTCATGGAGAATTGAGTAAAGCCAAGCTGCTTCAGTCCAGTGAATGTTCATCTGGAAATATTACTTCAGTTATTCTGACATTTACTTGATAAAAATCAATAAAAGATATGACAGCAAAAAACACATGAAGTGCAAAGGTTAATAATGTTGATCATTTAGAGGCCTTAAATTTGTATATCCAGTAGACTTTATAGGGTTAAGGTCTTTCTAGCTTGAAAGGGTGATGATAATTGTTCATCCGATGCACAAAAGTTACTCTTTGATTTGTTTTGCTTCAGATCATCATACCGGCCAGCAGGCTAGAAACATTTTGTTTACTCTACAAAGCACATTTTACTTTTCATGTGGTTTTTGGCAAGCATTAATTTTGGATCAGTGTTGTATATGGAGCACTTCGGTGTTGGCGAGAGGCTTTAGGTGCATCTGTGGTCAGAAACATGTCTGATAAACAAAACAAACAACAGGATAGTTGTTCAGATTTGAATAAAATGGATGAATAGATGCATTAGGTGACTGGAATACTTGATTGGGATTGGTTAGTTTTGGCATTCATTAGATATTCTTTGAGTTTAATCTGAATTTAGATCAGCTGATTGCACAGGCGTGTGATGTTGTTCTGTCTGTCATTTGTAAGATTTGTTTGCAAACTTTTGAGCAGTAGAAACACACACAGCGTGAGAAATCTTGGCTACCGTCGCACGTTACCGGTGATGATGTGAACCGCGGGAAACGGCTGCTTCCTTAACGAAGGACTAGTTTTAGGCACGCACAATGACACTCGGCAAACACCTGCTGTACGGATGCATGTTTGTGCTTCTGTTCAGTCAAAATGAGGAAAACAAAACCACAGATATGAACACACGGGCTGTGGATTTGTTTGTTTGCTTATACATTTATTTTTGTGAAGTGGTCTTTTGTGCTATCATCTATGCAAAGTTGGTGCAATAAAGTAACATCATAGTTAACAATTACTTGTTTATATAGGATACATATATGTAATGTATTTTATATTATTTAGGCACTTAGGCTATAGTTTGACAGAATGTTCTAATTAGGGCTGTCAAAATGACTGAAAAACTAAATTCGAATTTTCTACTTAAAAATGAACAAAATTCGAATTATATTCGAATTTAAAAGGCATAATTTCAGTTAGGGGGAAAAAAAGCTTTTGGCTTCTCTCCTGAGGCCACAAGAGGGCGCATCGAGCTAAATATTATGCACGTTTCTTCAAAGCGTAATAAAATAACA